GAACACATTAGTAGCCCTATACACACACACACACACACACACAAAATCACCTGCCTTCACTGTTTCTTTTTGGATAGTGAGATGGGCAATGTATAAATGTAATAAATAAATAAGTGGCATCCATGATAGCATCCATAGAATTGTATACTAAATTTGCATGGAGATGTATGTTTGTTCATTTCGTTTCATTTTTTAAAAATTAGCAAACAAAATATAACTAGCACTTCAGATTTTGAGAATTTATTCTGTATTTGGAAGACAAAGGAATTTTACTGTTTATGCTTTTAGACAGGCTATAAAATTATTGGTTATTTACCTCCTACATCTTCATCATCTGAATCGGAATCAAAATAAATGTCATCATAATACTTAGAAGTGGAGACAGTTCCAGACTGACCAGCAACAGAAGCATCACCTAAGTTACAAAAAACATACAATTATGAGATCACCCTACATATGCAAATATGTACATATCCTCCTAGTTATACAAAGAAATTCCATGCAACTGTAATTGCTTTTGTGTTTATATTCTTTACAAATAAGATCAACTGTACTTTGCCCAATTAGCATTCTGCTTTCACAGTAATCAACCAAATACCTACAGGAGCCTACAAGCCGAACATGGGACCAAACAGACTGTCGGTCTCAGCAACTATTATTCATTAATAATAGTTCCTTTTTAAGCAATAGTTTGGCAAATGATGTATTAATCTTTATTCCAACATCTCTCAAAAAAAACCCGAGATGATCAGCCTGCCAACAATACTGTGAGTGATTATGTTGGAAGAATATATTTGTTCAAACTACCTAGAATGCAATCCTATACAAAATGCACTCGGGTAAATCCCAGCATACTATTGCATTGTTAATTAATTATACAAAAGAGAAACTATTTGATTCAAAGTAAATATCCTGGCCTCTCATTACAATGATTTTGTGATTGCACAAATTAAACTGATTTCTCAGTGAATATGAGAAACCCTATATCTTCTGGACTTAAAATCTTAAGTGGGCAGGAATCTGCCTCAAATGCTTAGAGTGCCTTGACACAAAAATATCACAGCAAATTATCTTTCAATCTCTAAAGTACAGCTGTCTGAATGGGATTTCTGTTGTTTAAAATTTTAAATGTAGCTGCATTATTAAAAATGTTTGTAAAATAGAAATGGATATTAGCAATTTTATTAATATTCTCTACATTGATTGATAGAAAATGTGAAGAGACCGGATATGGAAATACAATCTTGAGTCCTGTTACCCTGTTCATATTTTATAATTGCATAAATTAAAAAACAATCACTTTGATTTATTTTGGTTGTTATTGTTGTAGCCCAACAGGACTCAGGACTACATTTCCATTATCCAGTTTCTTCATATTCCTCAATACTTAGAGTTAAGTATCCCCTCATGGTTACAGCAAATAGGCAAAATTAGTTGAGATGAGCTGATCTCCCAAAACTAATCAGGATTGAAAAAACCTGGAAAGACAATTCATATTTTTAAATTTTGGAAAAATGTTTACCTGGAAGTTGTGACTTCCATTGGCCTTCCATATTTTTCATGGTGGAGTTAAGTTCAGCTTCCATTTCCTTTTGGAATTCATCATCACTAGAAGATTCACTTTCTCCTGTGAGACACTCCCGTATCAGTTTACGCTTCTGGTCTGGGGTGCCATATAAAAGCACATCCACTTCATCTTCAGAACTACACAGTGATGTAGATGATGAAATATTAGAGATCATTATTTCAAGATAAATACCACACAGGTTGCCCTTGTTTAACATTACTTAAAGAAAGTATTTCTAAGTAGCTTTTTAATTAGCAACTGGCTAGAAACATCAGCTAACAAGAAAAAAAAATGTGAGTTTAAAGGTTCATCTCACCTCAGAGAGACAATTATTTGAAAAAACATTTATGAAAAGTAATTAAGTAAATTTATGTCTGCCCTTTCACAACAGAATTGTATTTCAATCTATATCACTAATACTCTCTTGTCATGACCTTTAACGGCAAAACTGGATATAATACAGCAACAATTTTTAAACCAAGATAGCTCAAATGGGATAACTTGCAGAATGTGTCCAAAATCCAGGAGTGGTTATTTATGAGGTTATATTGGGGAAATTGGGAAAGACATCCCTGCTTCAATGCTACTGGATGCTTCTGTGTTGACATGATCTTTATTTTCAATGTTCCATGACAGTTTTCCAGACAGTCCCATCCTCCCCCCAGCCAGCCTGCCGGGAAGAGGTAAGAACCTGAGGGAGAGAGAAAGATTTCAAATGCTCCCTGCCAAGGAGCAGGGAGTCCAACGTTGCTCCTGCTCCCACTGCTTTATTGCTCACCCTGGTCATTCTGTTTCTCTGTTCAGGTAAGGAAATATTTCCGAAACAATGACCCAAAGGAGCACAGGTTGTCCAATATGGGATACTCAAATACTAATATTAAAGTAGCATAGCACTGTGCAAAACAGGCTAGGGGCAGTTAGGATTTATTAGTTAAAAATAAGTAAGAGCGATTCTCAAAATCAAAATTTACAAAGCCGTTTAAGATATAACTGCGGAAAGAAAAACGTGAAGATCTCAAGGTTGGTTTTTGTTGTTTTTTGCAAAATATATGAAGCTTCGGGTTGCAATACACAGCAGTTTCACTTGAGCTCAGAAAAGCAACTAAAGATCTCTCGACACTAACTAATTAAAAGGACCTTTCCTGATTTCGCCTTCGGCTGACGATCGCGTAACATCCCAACCCCACAAAGGCGTAAGAAAACGCAAAGCTATTGCCGGCTGCATTCCCAAACCCAAAAGACCTGCTCTGCGCTGGGTCCTCATCGCTGGGCTCCTCGACCACATAAGGATCATCTTCTTCCCGCAGGGAACTCATGCCGGCCTCCTCGTCGTAGTAAACAATCCTGGTCTATTTCTCTCCCCCCTCCCCAACTAACACAAAACGCCTTCTCGTCACTTCCTGTTCCGCTAACCCTATGGTTGGTCCCACCAATTCCTGATTCCGCAAAGAAACCCGGAAAACATTTGGTTCCGGCTTCAAAGTTCAAGCGCCCGTATCTGCCTCTCTGTCCCTATATCCTGTGCTCATCCGGGTTTACAATCCAAAATCCCTGATCTTGGAAGTGTCTATGGAGATTCTCAGTCATCCAGGTCGTGGTTGTTGTCCCAAAGGCGATTGGACTGTCTGGGTTTTTTTTCTTTGAAGACGGTTCGCTTCTCATTCAGGAAGCTTCTTCAGCTCTGATTGGATGATGGGGAATAGAAGGATTTATATTTCTTGCACGTCTTCAAAGAAAAAGACAAGAAAGTCCAGTTGCCTCTTGAAAAAGCACTTTTGGGACAATTTGATCTTGGAAAAACACCAGGAAAAGGAAACAACAGCCAATTAAAGTGACGCGAATTTTCCAAAAAGCCGAATCTGCCTTCGCTCGAAAGAGAAAAAAAAAAGAGAAACAAACTCTCCACACTTGCAGAAGGGAAATGCGCTCCCCTATTAAAATCTGGAGTTATCAGACTATGTGATTCAACAGGGGAAACTTCCCATTTATAACAGGAAAAAGTGTTTTGGGTTTATAATAAGAACCCAGGGAGTTTTTCCTACATCGCCTGATACGGGTTTGCCTATTAAGTCTTACAATTCTGAATATGGATGCTGGTAGGTTTTTTCTAACTCCTTAGGTATGGAGTAATCAATCATTTCAATTTTAAATTATTTTGTGTTTTCCTTAATAAATGTGTTTCAAAAAATTCTAGCCTCTATATTATACCAGTAAGATGCTGTAACACATCTAACAGCACATAAAGATGCCGTTTACATGTAACATCTCTCATACCAGTATTTCTCAAGCTCAGCATTTTAAAGATTTGTGGACTCCCAGATTTCCCACCATGTTCTGATTATTTAATTAGATGTAGAAGGATGCTGGATAGCAATAGCACTTAGACATGTATATTGCTTCACTGCTTTACAGCCCTCTAAGTTTATAGTCAGCATATTGTCCCAAACAATCTGGGTTCTCATTTTTCCAATCTCAGAAAGATAAATCTTGAGTCAGTGAGACTCAAACTGCCAGCAACCAGAAGTAGCATGCAGTACTGTGTTCTAACCACTGCGCCACCACTGCTCATGGTTGCGTTTTCTACATGCTGGGTGTAAGGACCCATGAAAATCAAGTTCCTTTTCAAGGTAGGCCTGCTTTTGCAATCCTTCATGCCTGGTGCACAATGGGAAATGAACATTTTTTCTTGGCTTTATTAAGCCTCGGTACTTTTAAAGATCATACAGCATGGGGAATTTTGTATGACAACTACAAGGAGTTTAGCAACACAAAGTACTGTTAGTTCTAAGATACATACACAGTAGATTTCAAAGTCTAGATTTAGAAATACTGTTTAAAATATTAATCTCATTTACATGTCTTCTTTTCCCCTCCAGTCTTATTCCTATAATAGTACTTCTGAAGTTTGATGAATTTTCCCTTTCTCCTTTTTGAAGAGGGGGAGGATAAGCGCTTTTTCAGTCACCCCAATTCCAATTTCTCAGATACATGAAAGTTTTGATCAGACCATTAGTTCCTTCAGTATCCTAGTCATACTGATTTAGAGATTCCAAAGACTACTTTTATCATGTTTCTAGTAATATTTAGGCCAATCATTCTCTTTGTCAGTTTCTTACTGGCAAATAATGCTGTTGAAGATAATTGAACCAGAATAGGAATTGAGTAACTCTGCCTTTTCTGTTACTAATTAACTTCTCAGCAAATTCCTCTTATAAAGAATTTCCTGAGTCAGCAGTATGATGATGTTCCAAAGAAGGCAATGCAATTTTACAAGTGTCAACAGAAATTTCCAAATCATGGGAAATAATGATTTAAAGTGGTTCATAGAGTAGTAATGAACTACTCTATATTGTGATCAGATCATACCTTAAAGAGTGTCCACTTCTGGACCCTACACTTTAAAAAATTAGAAGAATTGGAACAGTTTCAGAGGAAGACATGTTCAATGGACCAGAAATTATGCCATATGAAGAGAGTGAAAGAACTGGGAAATGTTTAACCTTAAAAAACAACTGAGGAAAGAAATGAAGGATGTCAAGATCGGTGTTTTCTCATTCCAAGGTATAAAATACAGAAGCAATTGTAGAAAGCCAAATTCTAATTGAATGTTTTAAAAAAAATACTTTCTAACAACAGATTGACAGAGAAATTAATTACCCAGTAATTAGAGCCCAATTGATAGACTCTGTTTTGTGGAATATATTCAAGTGGCGACTAAAAGCTATCTGTGTGGAATTCTTTAATTTGGATTCCTCCTCTGAGCAGGAGACTGGACTTAAGACCCCAAATCTTTTCCAGCCCTGTATTCTATATGATGCACTAAACATGTGTTCTCAATTTATATATGTACTAGTAGGGAATCAAGTATTTATTTAAAAACAAACATAATTAAAAAGTATAAAGTGGAGACAATTATCAGAACATCAGGCTTAACAATTACAATGATACAATGACTTGTGATTTTAGAAAAATTCAATGATTGCGCTGTTTATTTTACAGTAATTGGGATTAGTCTACAAGTTAAGGCAAATATACTAATGCATTTGCTTTTTTTTCTGAGGTTGTATTATAAAGATTACATAAAGTTTGCTCCAAAATTTCTAGGAAATGTTATTTGAAAAAGTTAAGATGCTTGATAACAATATGTGAAATAACCAAAACAATGCTTTACAGTAACATTATCCAAACACCTAGTGGCAATATTTAATTGTTTTGAAACCATATGTTTCAAATCAGCTTCAGACATTACAAAGGTAGTAAAGTAAGAATGGCAGCAATATTTAACACTAGCTTTAAACAAAAACATAATTCTATTGGCTACTTTCACAAAAGAAAGACTCAGAACATTTGGTTTCTTGGACAATAAGAGTGTACAGTGATTAAATTAACGTGAATATTTCTAGCAAATATATTGTTGCTTCATATAATTTGGAATTATTCTGATACGCTTATGTGTTTTTTGTTTTTTTTTGGAAAAAAAGGAACGTGTTTGTGTATCCTTTGTCACCAAATCCACCCAGTTGTAAATATTAACTCAAAGTCGTAAACTCCAGTGGAAGGCAGCCCTTATTAACAGGATGATAGATTCTAGTTTATGTATCACCATTAAGCACTGCCAGACAGCTCTGCAACAGCTGTAAATTGCCCTGTAGTAATGAAAAAAAACACAAAGGTCACTGTTAATTTGTGATTTCCTCCTTTCTCAAACTAGTAATATTATTAAAGATGCACATCATTTTAAATGAATTGACAAGACTATTTTATATAATCCAGTTTCTGAACAAATCATACTGGGAGATTTAGTAGTTCTAGACTTTCATAAACTGCTCTTACTGTTGTTACCCATTACTAACACTGACATTTTCAGCTAAAGTGCAAGTGGAAGCCATTTGATGTTCATTTTTTAAATTGCAATATTCTGTTAATGTCTCAAATTGGCACTGAAAGCAATGATAATATATAATAAAAAATAAATTCAACACTTATAACTCAATTTACCAATTAAAATGTAAAGATTAAGATGTACATGATTAAAAACAAATTTACTGCCATCATTTTCTGAGTATTCCAATGATTTCAACACATTATTTGATTAGTGTCTGCCAGAATCCCAGAATTCTCAGCAATTGTCATATTGTTTTTCAGGAATCGTGATAATTAAAACCGACACAGCAAAAGAATACCCTGGCTGGGGAAGTCTGAGCGTAGTTATTTTTACTTATTAGGCTTTTACGCTAGTTCAATCAAAGTTGACTTCAGCTTTCAAAGTTGTTTTAAGAAAAAAAAACATTAAAAACTTGACATTTAGAAGCTTAAATAACTTTAAAAATATAAAACTGATGGCAAAAATGCTGGATTAGAATTTAAGGAAAGTTTTAAATGGATTAAGGGACCAAAGAAATTGGAATATTAGGACTTTTCCTAAAGTCCTTTTGAAAAAATAAGTTAAAAATGAAACAGTAATGAAATCTGAGATTTCATGAATATAGAGATGGACCATTAGAGAGAATTAAAGTTTCAGGCAAGAAAAAGAAAAGTGAAATCTTCAAAAATGAGAAATAAAGATATGACATTTGACACATTTTAAAATATTTTTTAAGAACTGTGAAAGAAATTTATAACCAATCTGAAAGCAATTATCGCTGTACCTGAAAATGTATTTTTAAGAAGATTATAAAGAAGAAATGAAATATGTGGCAGACAAAACTATGGAATAATATATGGATAGACAGGTTGAAGATGGGATACAAATATTAGTTCATAGAGAAATATTGGGGGGGGGAGAAATTAAGGGTTATGAGAGGTATCATAGAATGAAAACACATGATACAAAGATGAAAAAAGGTGACAAAATGATAAAAAAGGAACTGGGCATGGACTTATTTTTTGATTTACAAAAGGGGTTTATGAAAAAAAATTAAACTAATAACCTGCTCTAAACAAAATAGTTTATCTAAGAGACATAACTTCATCTCTTACTCCTTTTCACTAAAACATCTATCCAAAGTACCTCATTGTTGCTATGAAAACCACAACCCCATCTTCCTTTTTTTCAATTAAAAAAAGTTACTTCTAGTTAATGAGTTGGAAAATAGAAAAAGCACACAAACTTGCAACATATGAAGGATGCAAATATAACTGATGCCAGAGCTTCCATTAATTCCAACACTTGCTGCTTCAATTATCAAAATTGATTCAGAAAAAAATATTCTATATTAGAGGTAACCCTGAAATGTTAATTCAAATTGAGATTTCTCATCCTTTGTCTTAAAAGGCTATAAACTATGTATCACACATATTTAATTTCCATCTCAAATTTTAAATTAAGATATATTGTGTATTATTTTGGCTTCTACATTGCACAATATTTAAATTACAAGGAAAAAAAACACAATAACCTTAGCATGTTTCAGTTCCAATTCCGCCAGTTCTACTAGATTCTTCCGGAATGCAGCAACTCTTCTAGTTTTAAAATCTATAAGTTCTGTGGGAAATGAAAAGATTTGGCATTTCAGTCATAAAAATGTAACATTTAAGAGAATTCTGCTTAGATCCAAACATAAAGTTTAATCCAGCAGTTCTTTTATAAGCTTGATATATCAAGTCCAACAATATTAGATCTAACAGCATTTCAAAAATGGCTCTATTCGGTGTATAAGATGCACCAACATTTCCACACTATTTTAGGGGGGAAAGGTGTGTCTTATACTCCAAAAATATAGTAATTAAATCATAAAGTCATCATATTTTGTGTAATAGATAAAAAAACTTCTAACAATATTACAATCCATAATCTTCATCATATTTGGACACTCTAGGATAAAAACTTACTTTTATTTTAACTGGTTTAGATTTTCTAGTTACAATTGCCTAGCAGTCTTCTATCCTACTGAGAAGGAACTCAGATATTAACAGAGTGAGTTTTTGCCAGGTAATCTGGTTAAACATTCAGTGACCCTAAATTGATTTAATTACCATTCTAAACACTTTAATTTTGTTAAACCTATCAATCAGCATTACAATTTCTGATTACAAGGACAATTTAACAAATGTATAACAAAAGCATTTTCTTATAGGAATACAGACTAGTGAAGAATACTTAATACAGGTATTAAGTGCATTTAAAAAAAACAATTTCCATATCTTACAGAATCTTAAATGTTAACAAAGTATTAGCTTTTGTGAATTTCGGTCCATTTCATGCTATGATGCTACTAGTATTTACAGAAGTATTGGATGGCAGGGGGGCTGGGAGTAAGGGGAAATGTAAACAACATTAGAAGTAAATCAAATGCAATAGAGATATTTCATTATTATCGCTCCTTACCACTGTCCATATAGCCTGCATTTCATTTCCTCTGAATTCTTAGAAATTCACCACTCCTCAAAATGTAAATACACATACTTGGTCCTCAACTTAAATTGATCACTTACTGACCATTCAAACCATGGCCGACCCTTCCCCCCAAAACTATTTAGACCTGGTTCCAAAGTTCCGCTGCCCTGCCCCTCCAGTCACATGACTGCACTTTGGTGCTTGGCAGCTAGCTCACATCTACAGGCATTTGCAGTATTCTATAGTTACATGACCACAATTTATTTTTTTTCCAGAAATTGGTGTTTACTTTCAGTTTGCTTAACCATTGGGTTCACTTAACCACCACTGTATTTGCTATATGATCACCAGATTCGCTTAATGACCACCATAAAAACTGTTATAAAATCAGGTCAGTCACATAATGACCCACTTTATGATCATCCTGATTTATAACAATAATTGTCAGGCTCAATTATGGCCATAAGTCAAGGACTACCTGCCTATTCTTGTATTTCAGAAGATTGAAGTCTGATGGGAGTGTACTGTAGTCCACAATGTATTACACCATAATTAACTTATTAGCCTTAAGGTGCCATAGGACTTACTCTTCTGGAAATTAATGTATTGTAAAATATGACAATTTCCAAAACTAGTTCGGTACCTTGTTTTGCTGATTCAGATATTTTTTCAAATTTATGACAGCAAAGCTGCTGAGTATTTTCAGCTTGCAGAACATCTTTATTCTTTGCTCTTGCTTTATCCAGTGCCTTGTTAGCATTTTCATAATCCACCAATGACCTTGATCTCCTATACAGAAGGTCCTGTAATAAATAAAAAGGAATAAAATCCAATTGTGTGTATTAACTTTGCAAATAATACTTTAATGGAAGATTCAATGTTACTCAAATAGTATTTTTACTCTATCTATTATTAAGATAGTCATTTTACAAAACTAAACAATTTTTTCCTATCATAAAAATGAAAGCTCGTTTCTTTAAGGGGAACTATATCAAAAAACAAGTAACTACTAAAGTAACCAACTGAATCAATCATCCTGTCTTTTTAAAAAAGTAACTACAGCACAAGAATACTTATGTTTCCATTATGCTTGTTTCATTTCCCCATCCTCACACACACCCAAACTGAAAGGATCATGTTATGAGTTTTTAGCAAATATGGCTTAGTACAAACCAATGATTGGGACCATCTAAACACTTTAGCACATCAAATATTAGTTCCATTGAATTCTACTTTCTGAATATTTTCAGGCTGTTATTCTGTTACATTAAATTTACAAGATACTTTTCCAACCAGAAACTCGGTTTACCTTTGCAGCTTGTGATTCTCTTAGGTAGTATTTTAGAAGATCTGAGAGTTTAAGATCCTCATCAGCAGATACACGGGCCTCTACTTTCTAAACAAGAAAAGCAAATCAGAGATAATATTTTAGGTAGTACAAACCATCTCCATTTATAGTGTCCCAATTGCATGCTCCTACTTTATTTATTAAAAGCAGACATTTACAAAAAGCTATTGTCTACATCTTAAAATGCCTGGTCACTGCAACTTAAACAGTATATAGTAGAGCTAAAAAAGGTTCAGAGGAGGCAACTAAGGTGAGCAAGGAGTTTCCCTATCAGAAAGATTGTGACATTTTGGGCTTTTTAATCTAGAAGAATCTAGGGTTGAATAAAAGGAGACATGATTGAGGTGTATAACATTATGCATGGTGAGGATAAAGTAGACTGGCTATTTCCTAAAATACTGAGAGTGGTGATCCCACNAAAGTTGTCTTCTCCTAAGTTCTCACTATTCCCTAACAGCTGAGAGTAAAAATTCAGAATATCCAACTATTGTCCTTTTGCTGACAGAAGATATTACTCAGTAGAATGAGATTATTTCTGTCAATTTCTCCTTTTTTCAGGACCTCCACAAATCTCCCCTATAAGAGATACATGGTCAGATTAATAACCAAATATCATTTTATTCCTTATTCTGCTAATGGTAGAAGCTGGTTTGATATCCCCCAAATTAACTTCATAAACAAAGTACTTACTGTCATAATCATGTATATTTAGGTATGTAGAAATTAAAAACGCATATACATTTCATTTTGCTCTTATATACAAAATAGGACACTAATCTTTTAGAAGGAAGTAATTTGCATTCTCAGTCCATTATAGGTAGTTCTCGAATTTCAGTCAGTCAAATCTTCCATTATTTTAATACAAGCAAGATATTAATTCAGCAATTATAGGCAAGTATGCCAACATGCCTGACACTTCTAGAAAGACTTGGAGTTGGAAATATAAAAAAATATATACACATACGCTTCTAATTCTTGCTTCATCTTAGTAAATTCTTCCTTAGTCATGGATCCTTCTCCTTCACCAAGCTTCTGCAATTTTTCTCTTGAAGCATCAAAGTCAGGCCTCGGTGGCGCTGGTGGTATCTGTCAAATGACTTGAGGTTTATTTTTAAATTTTACACAGTGAAAACTTTTTGGATAAGCATACTGTAAGCTGGGTAACAACATTAACACAAACCTCTTGCCTTTTATTGTCCATTGTATTAAGACAAAAATCAATCTTACTTCAACTTCATTAATAATTTATTTATGCCATCCGCTTCAGCAATGTTTAAAAAAATTTATTTAAATATTATTTTCAATAATAGTTCAACATAACATGTGTTTCATGTTATCCAATTATAATATATGGAGTTCATGATATTATGAAAAAGACATATTTTAAAATATATGTTGCATCTGTTATAAATCAATATGGGTCATTTTAAATCAGAAATTCCTTCAAGAAGTTCTAAATAATAGTATCCAAAAATTAAGTATGATTGCTGTAAAGTTTAGATTCAAGTATCTTTTTAAAAAGTCATTGAGATTGAAACCATAGCCATTCTGTAGTTTATTGGCAATATATAAAATTACAAATGTAGCTAACAATTTGTAATTAATAGTACTTTTTTCTTCATAGTGATATCATTGAAAAAGCACTATAAAATGTGTAATATTATTCTCCCACTACACTGTACAATGATGAAAAACTGATCAAGTACTAGACTCAGGAATATGTGTCATCTTCCTCATTTGGNTGTGCATGACTGCAGCACACTGTTTTTTATTTTACCTTTTACCTTACAAACCATCTGTTTGTTTTTTATGTTATCATCTTTGTTCCATTTTGCTTTGTTATTTTGTTTTAAAGTTTTTAACAATTTCTAAACCACTCAGTCACTAAGAATTGAGCTGCATGTAAAATTAATAAATTAGTAGTAGCAGTGGTGGTGACTGAAGACAGCAGAACTCAAAACTGAGAAAGCAAACTTTCTAAGTCTAATGAAATAAAAAAGATCAAATTGGCAGAGGGAAGAAGAAAGCAATGCTGTGATGCAATCAGCTTCAAGCAGGAAGCAAAGACCCAATATGTGATGGACTGAGAAATAATTCTAATCACAGAACATTGGGCATTTTCAAACATCGTATAAACCATAAACAGCAAAACAACAACTAGAGCAGAGAAAGACTACAGTACAGAATCTGTTGCTAAATCATATTGTGTAGTTGGAATAGGATCCAAAGAAACCTAGCCTAAAAAAGAAACAAACCAAAAGCTTATTATCTGGAGACATCTCTCAAGTATTTGCAATGGCAACAAAGGATATTTAATCTAAATTGATTTAAGCAGTCACTATTATTTAAAAGATGTTACAAAAGAAAATAATAGTATACTACTTTTAAAAAACATAATTTGGTTTATTTTATAAGATTTTTCAACTTAACTCTATAGCTATCATGTATATAATAAATTCTTTAATGTACAGAAGTAGCACTTTGTAAAGGTAACATTCTCTAAATGTAAGATCTACTTAGAAAATCTGTTAAGAACTATGGCAGGGATTTTCATAAAGCCAAGTGCAAAGTTGAGAGAAAAATAGCTGAAATTACTACATGGTATGTACATCAATTTAAAAACATTCAAAATTATATGTTATCATTTTTTAAGCTATGTATGTTTTAAGAGAGACTTACTTGCATATATCTGTGGAGTCCTGTGTTCCCAATGTATATAATGAAGAACCAATTCTATTGTAGTCATCTGCAACATCTGAAAAGAAAAAGATGTGGCATTAAATTCATTTTATATTGTTAGATTTTCTACATTAATCATATTTATGTATGAAGTACATCCACAATTTTGAGAGCAGCCATGTGATTCATATTCTTCTTTAAAGTCACACCTGTCTTAAATCTCAAAACTTATTTGGAAGATATAAACAAAAGTTCAGGCAATATTTGTTTGGCATCAGAAAATTCTGAAAACACAAATAAAAAATAACAAAACAGAGTTTGTCACTTCCACATTGTCACTATTTTTCCAAAATTTATCCTTGTCATATATTCCAGATTTATCCTATAAAATGGAATCTACAAACTAATAATATTTTACAACTTAATGGTATTTATCCTAATGGCTCCAAAATACTTTCTAGGTATCAGCAGGCAACTTACTTTTGTGGGATCTTGTCATTTTATCAGACTTGAGAGAAGAATCCTTGACACGGTTGTGATATTCTACTAGGAATGTTCTTTCATGTTCAAAAAAATCATCTACATCCTGCATGCCAAGACACATCGGAAGTAAGCAGAATAATTTGAAGAGAAGCAATTTATTTTAATTGAACAAGTTAAAATGTAACTGCCTCAGGATAAACAAAGATCAATGGTAGAAACAGCAGTTACATATCCATAATTTTAACTCAAAAAAACCCCCAGTAATTCTACTATAGTAGCATTTCAACACACTGATATATTTCTAGGTGATTTCTTTTTCTAAAGCTCGGATAAATAACACCAGATGCAACAATTCTGATGAAATTATACTCCCGCATAACCATTGAAAGCCTGAAATTTTCAACCCATCTGAAAAACACCAAGTTGGGAAAAGCAACAAAATCCAGCAAGCTATGTAATGTATAAATATA